CCACGACCAGCTGCACGTCCGACGCCTCGTAGACCCTACACGCCTCGACCAGATGCTCAGGATGTGCCGCCTCACGCCTAGGATGCTCGACCCGAGGAAGAGGATTGGGCCGCCGCAGGAGCGCCACCAGCACCGTGCACTCCGCCCCCCCCCAGCGGGAAGATGCCACGAGTAGCACGACTCTCTTCCCGAACAGGGTCAGGGACGCTGCTGGGGTCGCCCTCCACCGCGTGCGAAAAGCCGCCGCCCACGAGCCCCGCGGAACTGAAGACGAAGCTGCCGCATGTGCATTGCATCCCTTTGGGCGGATGCACCGAAACACTACCGCCTGGCTGCTCGGCCGTCGACCGCCAGCCTAACCTCGGACCAGCAGCAGCCCAGGCGATGCCGCTGGCAGGTGCCGAAGCGACACCCCCAAGCGGCACCCTCCTGGAGTGCCAAGCAGTGTTGCGGCGCCGCCTCATGCTCCCAGGGATGCGCTGCCCGAAGGCCAGCCGCCGAAGCGCAGGCCGTGAGACGAGCTCGCGATCTTGCCAGGAGCCAGGGCGACCGCCAGCGTCGGCAGAGCGCACAGCAGCCTCCACCGCCGCCTGCCGCCGCCGCCGCGCGGCAAGGCGCGCCGCTGGCGGACCGATGGAATCGATGTCTGCTTGACGCTGAGCCGTAGGCCGCCATGCTTTCGGGCCGCCCCCCGCCACCATCTCCACCTCAGCCCCCCGCCCGCCGCCGCCACCGCCGGGACATTCCGACCGAGCTGGCTTGAGCAATAGGGGGGTCGCCCGCTGGTGGACAGCTTGAGCCAAACTGGCTACGGAGAAGGAGGCGGAGGCGGAGGAGGGGGAGGAGGAGGAGGAAGAGGAGGAGGAGGAGGAGGAGGAGGAGGAGGAGGAGGAGGAGGAGGAGGAGGAAGGACTGGGAGGAGGAGGGGGAGGAGGAGGAGGAGGAGGAGGAGGAGGAGGAGGAGGAGGAGGAGGAGGAGGAAGGAAGAGGAGCATGGCGAGCAGACTGGCCAGAGGCCTCTCGGATGCCTCTCGGAGTCTCTCTGGTTGTCTCTTGGGAGCTTCTTTGAGTCCTCTTGGGGCGTCTTTCGGGCCTCTTGGCGGTCCCGGGGGGCTCTTGGAGCGTCCTGGATGCCGCGGGGGAGCCTCTTGGGACATCTTGGGGGGTCTCTTGGAAGCCTCTTGGGGGCTTTGGGGGCCTCCTGGGCGGGCACTCTTGGGAGCCTTGAGGGCTTGAGGGCCATCTCTTGGGGCCATCTTGGAGGAGTTTGATCATATCAGGCGGTCCCCCCCCTGGAGGCCGCAAACAATGATTTGTGCCTTGTCGCCGAGGCCTTCTTGGACGCTCTAATGCCTCGCGACCCCCCTCCAGGTCCGGGGCCTGGGGGAGAGGGGAGGGGGAGGGGTAAACCCCTCCCCAAAGGGTAAAAAAGGGGGATTGGAAGAGGACCTTCATGAAACACTCACGCCCTAAAGAGCCAGTGAGGTTTTCAAGGAAAAGGGACGGTGGGGGAGGAGGGTGATGGAAGCATGATGTGGAGAAGGAGGGTGAATGACTAGGGGGAGGAGGGGCATGAGGGGGAGGGGGGGGCAGGAGGAGGATCGAGAGCTTTGAGGGCGCTCTTGGGCCTGCTTGGGCCCCCAGAGATCCCTCGAGATGCATCCGACGGAGCGGGCAGGGGTAAGGAGGGCCCGGCTCCTCCGTCTTTTGCTGTCAATCGCCCCCCCTGTGCTCTCGACCCCTCCCAGGGGGCTAGTTTTGCTTGGTCGCGGAGCGGGTTTGGCGGTTCCTGGGGGGCCAGGACAGACCCCCCCCCCGAGGCTGAGCGTGAGAAAGACTGGCTGGCTGGCCGAGCCGAGCATCTGGAAGGACGCGTGGGCACAAGAGTGCACGGTTGGCAGCTGGTCGTGGAAATCTAAAGTACACCCGCTCGACCGCGAAGCAGAAAAAAGGTGCGCATCATGACTGTGAAGCAGGAAACAAGGGAGGAGCGGGAGGGGAAGGGGAGGAGGACGACGAGGAGCGGGCGAAGTGGAGTTACAAACAAGACAAATCATACACCGAAGTCGCCCACTGTTGTCGCGGGCGCCTTGTTTCCGACGGCGTGCCCAATTTTTGAGAATGTCGTCGGCAGTGGAAGCTGTCCAATCTCGACCAGTCTGGTTTGAACAGTCATCCAGGATCCAAGGAGTACATGAGCTTGCTGAGCACGGAGCTGGAATCTATGATGTATTCACGTTGTTTCCCAATTGACGCGTGCGCCCAAATCTGGCTCAACAGCTTGAATGTTTTAGTCGCTTCCCCCAATCGCCGGGTCACCTCGGTCGTCGCCTTCCCGTCGCACGTGATAAGCCCGCCAAGGTGAACGGCTTCGCGGACTGACTTCGCTGGTCGGCCTGGAAATCCTGCTGTCTGTTGAGATATTCATGTGAATCGTTTTCTCCCAGTTGAACTCCAGTCCGCACTTCTTTCCCTCAGCAACGATTGCCGCCACAAGGCCGCTCAAGTTTTCAGCGTGTCGTGAAAGAAGCAACGTGTCATCAGCGTAGAGGATATCGCGCGTCACTATAGATGCTGGCTCTGCTTGGAGACCAGCAGTGCGAAAAACGCCATGCAGCATCACGTTTTGAACGATGATAAACAAGTAAGGTGACAGGGGGCAACCCTGCGCAATCCCAGCCTGCTGCATTCTTTCATATGACGTGCCTGCGTGGTCCAGGATGGTCAAATATCTTGCTGCGTATTTGGGCCGTATAGGTTGAACCATGCAAGAAGGAACACCGAGTCGGAGGAGTGCGCCACACATGCAATCTAGCTCAATCCTGTCAAATGCTTTGGCCCAGTCAAGCATGAGTAGAGAGATCCCCCCGTCGTTGTCCAAGTGCGCCGCATCGATAATAAACCTCACGAACATAAGCGCGTCGCTGTTTCCTTTCCCAGGTCTGAACTCATACTGCGATTGTCGCAATGGATGCTTTGCTCCGCCCTTAACGAGGCGTCGGTGTAGAAGTGCAGCTAGGATTTCGCATCGAACCGGTAACAATGAGATAGGCCCGTATTTTGCTGGTGAAGCCGCACTTTTTTTTTGAACAGCAGCACGGCATTCGAACGTCTCCAAACTTCCAGAATTGACTTTTGTCCCAGCATTTTAGAATCACGTCCAATAAGATGCCGCAGGCAATCGAATCCGAACCCAAGATTTTCCAAAACTCTGGCGGGATATCGTCGGGGCCGGCTGCCTTCCCTTTCTTTAGCTTTCACAGTGTTGCCTTCAGTTCACTGTTGGTTAAAGGAAGCGTGTCAACAGGAAGCGCGGTCGAAGAATGTGTTCGCGATTGCGAGGTCGTAAACCACGCAAGTTTCCAAAAGCAATTGCCGGTTACATAGCTGCGCATTGGCATTCCCATTGTGTTGTTCATTGTGATTGGGGGCCCCATGGAGGTTTCTGAACACATGAGGCCCGATCATATTCTCCTCTCCCGGTCCTCGCCGCAGAAGTTGCACATTGAAGTCCCCGGAGGCCATGGGCGTATTGTGCGCGGTCGTAGCCCGGATGAGGTCCTGTAGTTTGTAGTAGAAGGCCTGGCGCTTCTCATAATCCAAGCCGCTTTGAGTGGCATATACGGTAATCAGTGTCCGCATCTCACCTTTATCCTTTATTATTCGAAGTGTGGCCAACCTGTCTGAACAGGCTTTGAAGGCGACAATGGACTTCAGGATTTTGGGGCTCACCAGGAAGCCAACGCCTGCATATGTGCGAGTTTCCACATCCAAGCAGCCAGACAATAAGATCTTGAAATCGTTTTTCATGTAGTACTCCGCCCCGTGCAAGTGTATCTCCTGAGTGCACAAAACATCTATGCCGTGGTCGCCCATGCACTGAATCAGCTCGTCGCGTTTGATGGTTGAGTCACCCCAGAGGCCTTCAACATTCCAGGTGCCGATGCATTTGTGACATGGAATGCACAACCGCCTCTGCGCGTTCCATCCAGGGGGGGTGGTTGAGGAGAATGAGGAGTAGAAGGCGTAGTACCACCAAGGGAATTTGAAATTGGATTGCTGGCGGAAGTCGTATCTTTGCCAACTTTCGGAGAAGATCTTCGAAGAGAAGGGCTCATAATGAAGATTGAAGTGGTGAGCCTTGATGCCGTGCTTCAGGTATGGTAGCTTTGCCCAATTCTGTAGCACGGTCTGCTTCTAGCGGAAGGGCGCGTACATGTTGCGGACCGATAACAGTTGATATTGCGGTCTTTTTCCCAGAGTGCCTCTTGCCCCAAAATTGGTGTATTGTATTTCTGCCAATGCTCCGGCACTGGTGGCAGAAAAGCTTGTATTGGTAGGGTTTCCCGTTGCCTGCCGCGTATCCACTTTTCCAGCTCCTTTGGATGAACCTTTCGCTCCCCCCTTCATGCCCTTAGTGCTTCTCTGGACAATGCCATCGCATGTTTGGACGAGCTCGTTGAACTTGGGGTGCGAATGGAACTCTGTCCATGTATCCCAGTCGTTGGCCCAACTCGTTGTGATATTGCCCCCATCCACTGTCAGCGTAACGGCATGCTTTCCACCAACTTCATGTGAGAATGGGTTTTGATCGCAAACGCGTATGGTGTAATCCATGCCCGTATCATCTTTTAGGAGATACTCGAGTCGAAAACAGAATTTACGGGCTGCCCGCATCAAGGGTGGACGGTCTGCTGTGGCCCACACCCCCTTCCCCCCTCACGTGTGAGTTTCGCACTGAGGATCTGCGGGCAGCGTTGTCGAACTCGCAGAAGACAGGATTCCAGAACTCGTCTTTGCAGTAGATGTTTACCCATACTGTTACCCGTAGTTGCGCTAACTCCTGTTGCAGCCAATCTGACGCTTTTTCAAAATACTCAAACCCATCCAAGTTACCAACCACTGCTGACTGCTGTGATAGTTCGACTATCGCTAACGGCATTCCCAGTACAGCTCTGACATCCTGTTTCCGATGTTCCGGCAATAGATCTGGGAGTGACCTGTAAATTCAACATGTCTTGTTTCATCTCGTTGATTGCATTCTCCATGTTGGAAGCCCGTATTTGCAAGTCTTCGATATCGTTCGTGACCGCGTCCTGCAATTGCTCAAGGTTCTCACGCAACGGGCCCACAGTGTTGTTGAGATCTTCCTGTGTAGCGCTGTGCTGCTTAATGGCCTGGATGTCGCTTCTAATGGGTTCCAGGTGCTTGTTCAGAATGGCCTCGAACGTAGCCGCGGTAAAGGCAACACCCGACGCTTCCAGCAGGCTAGCTTGGAATTGTTATTGTCGTATTTTTGCTAGTGTAACTGCCCCGCCATCCGGCTCTGCTGCCAGTCGTGATGTTCCTGCTGATGCTGATGTTGCTGCTGCTGCTCCCTCGTCCAAGCCATCCATCTCGTTCGGCGGGCCGTTTACACGAGCAGTTCTGGCTGCTGGAGGTGCTGTTGGCGAAAATGACGGCGAAGCGATGTTGTGCATCTCTCCCTTGAACATCTGACGCACAGGGGTACCTGGCACGCGAGAGTCGCCACCAGCACCCGAAGAAGACATTGCAGCCCACAGAGGTGGTGTAAGAGTTGAGGGAGTCTTGAGAAATGAGGTGATGTGAGGGTGTAAGGGTACGACAGTTGGGGGCCACTGGAATTACCAGAGCTTGAGAAGCTTAAGCCTTGAGCCAGGTCTTGGGCCAGGTCGTGAGAAAGTCATCTTTTTTGTCCTCCTTTCCCATGGCGCGGGAGACCTGTGGAAAAGCATCGTAGCAGGGGGGAGGGTTGCTGCTCGTGGATCGATGATCCACGAGGAAGATCGAGGAGGAGGAGGAGGCGGACGATCGATGATTTGTCAGGGAACGACATCGGCCGCAGGGCATCTTCGGTCATGCTGGTTATCATATTGGGAGGAGGATGGTTTGGGGGTGATGGGGTGGATTCATCGTGACTAGGTCGTATCTGCACTGTGTCTCTCTAGATTCCCTCGGTGAGGGTATCGTATACTCTGGGAATCTCTATATATCGGCCCTTCGAGTTGGTAAGTGCCCAGTCCTACCGCAGATCATTGTCACATTGGACCTGACATGATCAACATCATGCGTCCTACGTAGTCACCCGCTGCTGCCTGGATATGGCGGAGGACGGTTGATGAGGATAGGAGTAGGATAATGAGGAAGAGGAGGAAGAGGAGGAGGAGGCGGAGGAGGAGGAGGATGAGGAGGAGGAGGAGGAGGAGGAGGATGATGGACTATGAACGCTAATGCACCGTGCGTGCCGACCTTTGCAAGCGTGTTGACCGCTTCGGCCCTCGGCGAAGGCAGCCACAGTTTCAGGCGATGACCCTCAGTGATGGCATCCAGTGACCGAGACCGAAGTTCAAGTGATGACCCCTGGGGAGGGCATCCAAGGAGGAGGAAGAGGAGGAGGAGGAGGAGGAGGATGAGGAGGAGGGCGAGAAGGAGGAGGAGGAGGAGGAGGAGGAGGAGGAGGAGGAGGAGAGGGAGGAGGGGGAGGAGCGGGAGGAGGGGGAGGAGGAGGCGTCGGGCCCCGATAGCCCACCCGCCCAGGACCGTGCCGTTTCGCAATCGAGTGCCCATCGAAGATATACGGCGCTGCGCCGCCGATTCCAGCTCAGTGGCCCCTCCCCCCAAGAGCCAGTCCCCACCCGGCCGGTCGCCCGCGTCCACCCTCCCCTGTTGCGCCCCCCTCTCCGGTGCTCGCCGCCGAGGGCTGTTCCTCGTGATCGTGCTGTGGTGCATGACCGCGTCCCTGGTCTCCAGCCTGCCCACCTGGGTCTGGTACGCACCCTGCCCGGCGCCCCCCTACGACGAGGCCGTGGCGGCTAAGGAGCCACCGCCCCCGGTTGCCCCCCCTCCCTCGCCAGCCTCCTCGCCGTCCCCTCGTCGTCCTCTTCCTCCTCATCCTCGTTCTCCTCCTCCTCCTCCTCTTCCTCCTCCTCCCCCTCCTCCTCTTCCTTCCTTCCTTCCTTCTCCTCCTCGTCCTCCTCATCTTCCTTCTCCCCCCTCCTCCTCGTCCTCCTCCTCGTCCTCCTCCTTCTTCTCCACAAATACACAATACGAAGACTCAGTCCGGAGAGCGTCCCGTCCTCTCCGCGTATTGTTTGTCTTTAAACAGGATTCCATTATTTGTTTTCCAATGTTTTTTTTCATTCCGGTCGTTTCTGCTTCTTCCAAAAGGTGCTCCCGCTGCAGCGCCGCCCTCACTTTCGTGCTTCGGTCATTCAAAATCGTGCTCCCGCTGCCTTGCTGGCCTTATTCCTCCGCCTCCAAGACGGCACTTGGTATTCGAAAGCGCACACATCGGGCAGGCACCGTTGCGGAGGAAAATGAGCTGGCATTCCGGACAGGCCTTGTCCGACTTCTAGATGGGCCATTTACCCTCCAAGTCATGTGATGCCATGCAATGCTTTGCGTTGATATGTTTGTGACGCAATGCTTCACAACGGAATGCCACGCCATGCTATCCTATGCTTTGCTCTGCCGTGCTCTTCTACGCCATGCTTTTCCATCCATCGCGTACCCTCTTGGGATCATTGCCCTGCACGGCATCCGATTGTGCGAATGGATAGGAGATCTACGCCATGGCAAAGGATGGGAGGGAGGGGCAGGACGTCAGATGTGACGCTAGCGAACCTAGCTTGTCCCCCTGGCCCTCCCCCTCCTCCTCGGTAGTTTGGAATTTCTGCAACTCCCACTTTTTTGACGGTGATTGGCCCCGCTCCTCTCGCGCGCCGCCGCCGTTCGTTCCTCGACAGGGGATTGTAGGCAAGGCATCCGTCGTACTGCAAGCGCAGTATTGTACCCCATTTACTATCATATTTTACTTTCACCCCGCTCCTCTTCTACATCCTCTTCTTCCTGAAGGTCCTCCTGGAGGTCTGCTCTGCGATGCGCCGACTGGCGCTTCAACTTACTCCTCCCTCCTCTTCCCTCCTCCTCCTCCTCCTCGTCGTCCTCCTTCGTCTTCGGGAGGTCGTGACATCGCCGACGAGGGCACCAGAGTGCCCTTTCCGTGGCCACGGCCGCGCCCCGCGCCGGCCGCCATGTCGGCCCGACCGGTCACCTCGCGGTGGGACGCTTCGCCCGCGCTCGCTTGCTCGCTCTTCGCATTCCTGGCGGGCCTGTCGCGCCCGTCAGCGCTTGGCCAGCTACCGGAACAGTGGTGTGTTCCCCCAGCGATTGGGAACATTGTGGTGGGATCTCTTGAGGAATTAGTAGAGTGGACGAGAAGAGGGAGGCGAAGGAATCGAAGGACGATGATGATGATGATGATGATGATGATGATGATGATGATGATGATGCTGATGATGATGCTGATACTGATGCTGATGCTGCTGCTGATGATGATTATGATGATGATGATGAGGATGATGAGGATGATGAGGATGAGGATGCTGAGGAGGAGGAGGAGGAGGGGGAAGAGGAGGAGGATGAGTTGGAGGAGGAGGAGGGAGAGGAGTGGGAGGAGGAGGAGGAGGAGGAGGAGTAGTAGGAGGAAAAATAATAACAATGAGAATAATAAGTCGAGGAATAATATAATGATAGTAATAGTAAGAAGACGACTGCGAGTACTGATACGAAGAGTAATAAGCATACTAATCATCATAATGCGAACCATGCGAATAACATGACAAACACTACTAATACGAATAATGCCAATACTAATAACTAATACTAGTAATACTAAGAACAATAATAATATTCATAATACGAAGAATACGATTCATACTATTCATACTCACACGACGAAAAAGACGAATACGAATACTAAGCACACTAATGTTAGTAAACGCAGCAAAACTAAACACATAAGAAGGTCACTACTCATTACATGTTGCTCATACGAGTAAGAATACTCACACTAAAACATTATACAACTGATATTACGACTACGCGCAATCTTATCAAGATTGCGAAACCTTATACTGCCAAACGACTACTACTACGAAACAACATAATAGCACGGACACGACGACTACTAAGACGACGGCTACTACGACGCACATTATTAAAACTATTATGAATATCAATTATATTAGTAGGGCGGCTAGCAATACGACTAATACCAAGGCTAAGCCTACGAGTAATACGACGACGAATACTACGAATACCAATACACACAAGAGGCGGAGGCGGAGGAGGAGGAGGAGGAGGAGGAGCAGGGAGAGGAGGAGGAGGGGGAGGAAACCGAGGAGGAGGAGGAGGAGGAACAGGAGGAAGAGACGGAGGAGGAGGATGAGGGGGG